AATTTAAGGGTAATTTAAGATCTAAAACACAATAAAAGTTCTGTTTTGTAACATTCTCCGTATTATGAAATCAGATACATTTATAAGTCTATTTTCCTTCACTAAACATTGAATTTTCTAACAAATAATGCAGCGTTTTTGAGACACATATAGATTGAATTGTATAGAACTGGGTATTATAATTTACAATTTTATGCGAATTAAAAATGGTTGCTATTAGTTTAACCTAAACAACATTTGCAACGTGAACAATTTTCATTGCCATGTTGCAAACACCTCTCTTTCTACTGCTTGCCACTCCTAAGTATAGGAATTGAGTTTCCTTTGATTGATTGAGTCAGTGGGAAAGTGGAAATGTGAGCTGGAGAACCATTTTGGTTTATAAAGAATTTTAGAAGAGTTTATTCTAGGTAAAAAAATAAGCAAAAATCATTACTTAGTTGGCCTAGAAGCTTTAAGAGTTGTGTGGAAAGATGAAAAGTCTTTTGGTCTTTTAAGGAGTTGACCTTGGGACTCTACTTTTATATTAAGTGCACTTTTTACTTTTCAGTTATGATAAGTTTTTTTAAAGCTACTTAGGTCTCCTAGAAGTCACATTTTAGGTTTCCGAAGGACCAAAACGTATACAAGTTCCTTAAAAGCCAAAAGATAAAATCTATAAGGTTACTCTTGGGAGGTTACTCTTGGGAATCATTGTCTTCATTTGATTATCTATACTAAGGCTCCTAAACCCCTATATCAATGGATAAAACACTTCATATTTAGATGAAAAAAATTGCATCTTCTCGCTCCTAGTCGCTTACTCTCCTCTTTAATCTCACTCCTCTCTTGTTTTCTCTCTATTTCTCTTCCTGTTCTATTTCAGTTGGTTTCAGAGCCTTTCAAGCAGCAAAAACTCACAGATACGTGCACCTTCAACATCAACCCCTTGCATGTGGAGTTGGATTTTGGGAACTGTCCCTATGGAATTGGTGGATCACTTGGCTCTCGATGCCTAGCAATTTTTGAAAACTTCCTAATATTTTTTTCATAAACACTTCAGATTTTGATGAAATAAACTTGCATCTTCTCTCTCCTAGTCTCTTATTCTCCTCTTTAATCTCACTCCTCTCTTGCTCTCTCTCTATCTCTCATCCAGTTCTACATCATCTTGCCTTTGTTCAAAAAGCACGAAATACAGAGGGATGGTCTTGGGAAATAGGTTCAGTTCATAATTGCATAAAAGATCAGATGCGAAGAATGCCCTCTTTGTGTCATTATCCTTTGTTTTCCTAATCACTCTTTGGGTATCAAGTAATTCTATTTCATTATGTTTTCCCAGCTACTTTGAAGAATAAAGTGATTCTTGTTAGATTATCTATGCAGGAGATTATAATCCAACTATCCAAGAATGAATTGCTGTTCATTTCAGATAAAGGGATAATTTCCTTTTCTTTCCAAAAGCAAATTTGTTTATTAAATTAAACAATGGGTTCTTTGTTCATTACATTTCTAATATTTTTATATTAATTGAGAATCAAGGATAATATATTATGTGGAAAGCTAGAAATTCACATTAATTACAAGAGTACTTAGTTGTGTCTTGACTTTGTTTCTAGGTACCTACAAAACATTTATGTATTTATGAAAAAAAAGTATAGGTTACATGTGCTTTGTTTACACAAATTGTGTTTATGTGTAAAACCTCATCCTCATGAAAGTTAGGTGATTAATATACATTGATATAAATTCTGCACATATAGTTAGGAAAAAATACATTTCCTGATTGCACTAGCATTCTAGTTAAAGCAGAAGTCTGTAGTTTAGATTTACATTTTTAGGGTCAAATGTTTATACATCGTCCTTTTAAAGGTTGAAAGTTAATTTTATATTTATTACATGCCATAATTTATTTGACTTCTATCAATAAAGGAGTTAGCACAGATCATAGGATTATTTTAGGATTTTGAAATATAGTGACACTTGAATGGGTTTAAGGATGAATACTATTGAAGGAAAATTAACATAATTTACACATAGGAACTTAAGTGAGTGGGGAAAAAATTCTTGGGAGATGGATAGTGATTCATATAAGATTTAATATACTGGAAAAGCTAAATAAAGAATGATCTAGTTTCTATTCTGAACAAATGTTTCACAGAAAATGTTGCAAAGAATTTGAGATAGAGTACCATGAGAAGGTACTTGTGCATTCTTGATGATGTATGGAATCCAGGTGCATTTTTAGATTTGAAAAGTGCTCTTCATGATAGCAATCATGGAAGCAGAATAGTGATCACTACATGTTTGAATGAGGTGGCTTCAGTAGCAGATCAGGTGCGCTGTATGGTGCTTCGCAAACTTTATCAAAGTGAAGCATGGAAGCTATTCTGCCAAAAGGCATCTTGGAAAGAAGACGAAAGTTGTCCGCATGATATAGAGGAATGAGGGTAAGATTGTTGAGAAGTGTCAAGGCCTACCACTAGCTGTTGTGGCCATAGCCAGAATCATGTCACTCAAAAGGAAAACTGAGACAGAATGGAAACATGTTTATGAGAAACTAAGTTGGGAGTTCACTAACATCCCAAGCTTGGACAGTGTATAGCAAGTTCTGAACGTGAGCTATGGTGATCTACCAAGTCATTTTAAGAATTGCATCTTACACTGTAGCATCTTTCTGGATTATAAACTCAAGAGAAAGAAGTTGATCAGGCTTTGGAGCTGAAAGTTTTGTCCGAGACAGAGCAACACAGACTTTGGAAGAAGTTGCAGAAGAATTTCTCAATGAACTCATCCATCGGTCCATGCTGCACATCGTAGAGAGGAATAGCTTTGCAAGGGTGAGGCGATGTTGAATGCATGATATTGTGTGTGATTTAACTCTATCAACAGCCACAAAAGAAAATTTAGTACCACGTGGAAAGATTCAGAATAAGCACATCTGGGCGATGAATCTCGGCGATTGTCGGTTCACAACTGTGCCACTAACAGCATCTTGATCCCGATGGATTTTTCTCGCATTCAGTCTTTGTTCGTATTCAAGCGTGACTCATCTCTAACCAGCTTGATATACTCTATATCATGTCATGCTAGATATCTGAGAGTTATAGATCCAGAGAATGCAGATATTGACAGAATTCCTGATGTGTTTATGGATCTATTTAACCTGCACTATTTGGGTTTGAGGAAGACAAAGGTTAAACAGGTTCCAGACTACATAGGGCGGCTTCTTTATCTTCAAACCTTGGATCTCTGTTACACTCAAATACAGAAGCTACCAAAAGGAATTACCCAATTATAGAAACTATGGCACCTGCTCGCTCTTAGTTTGAAAGAGGAAAGCCGTCATGTTTTTCATTTCTTGGCCTATGTAAAAGTTCCAAATGGCCTGCAAATCTTATGAGCTTACAACACATTGACATTGCTGCAGATGAGGAGTCAGTGGAGTGACTTGGGAACTTGACCCATCTCAGATTGCTCAACGTATCTGAAGTTTGAGGAATCGACTGCCCAGAATTGAGTGCCTCAACATCGCAAATGCCTTTACAAGTTGTGCATCACTGCTTACAACGAGTATGAGGGTTCTCTGGTTGCAAGATATCAGCCCCATCCTCAAGAATCTTGAAAAGCTCCATCTTCATGGAAAGACTTGTGGAACCAGTCGTAAAGGAGCAACTCCATGCACGATGACTCGTCGGGCAGCTTAAGGCATGTGTGATTGTTGTATCACTAATCATCGCCTGACTGAAATCACAAATCAGGGATATGGCATGCATCTGGAGGGGTAGAGGGGGTTGGGTCAATGGCAGTACAATTTTGGATGGGCACCATGTCCATGGCTCTGTATTGCAGTCCTGGGCTTTTGCTGCTCTCGGAGTAAATCTTCAGGAGCTGCGCTTAGGCTGGAGTGGACTGAAGGAAGATCCACTTCCAGCTCTCTACCACCTTCACTATTTTTCAGTGCACTATGTTCACAAGGCATACGATGGTGAGCAGCTATGCTTCAGCACAGACTGGTTCCCTAAACTTCAAGAGCTTCGTCTACTTCATTTATGTCTCAAAAGGATCATAATAGAGAAAGGTTCCATCGCCAACCTGCGAGTTCTAATAATGGAAGGCTTGCTGAAATTGATGATTTTCCCCAAAGTTATTGAGTTCCTAACTTTCCTTCGGAAACTATACTTCAAAGAGTGCAATGACTTCTACCACATGATCCAGGGAGATCGGAGAAGCAGTGTGGAACACATTCCAAAAGTCTTGGGCAAAAACCAAATTGATGGTACGAAGACCATTGAAGTCTTAAGCTGGCCCAATGGCATAACACATCCTGCTCTTTCGCAGGTACTCAATTTCGAAATCCCACCTGGCTTGCTTGTCTCTCGGTCTCTGCTTATTCTCATAATTTATCCATTGTTGTATGGGTACAAAATTGTTTGCTATACCATGCACACAAAAGGGTGGAGTCACTCTGGCCACTAGCCAGTTAATGTTTTTCTGGGCAGAAGTAAACATTCTTGAAACCTTTTACGGGGGACATGGCCTTAATTGATCTGATGTGGAGGACACACATGAGCCCCAATCATCAGGGTAAGAGAAGCTACATCACTCCTAAAGAATCTCATGGGTGATTCATTCACCCTAAACAATAGAGTCTAATGTATTTTAATATACTTCATAGTATTATATTTTCAATTTGCATTTGAACTTTCTTTGGCTTATTCAATTTTAAATAAACACAAATAATGAGTAGATATTGATGCATGCATGTTCTCATATCAATGAAATTATCTTTTTGTACAACAGGGTATTAAATGCATGCTTAATAGTTTAATCCACATCCATGTAGGTATGGCAACATATTTATACGTATTTGAGTAAAATATTTACATTTCATGATGAGGGAAACCATTCTCATTGTGAACTCGTATCATTCTCATTTTTATGCCTCAAAATCTTACAAGATTGAAGAAAATGAGACATGCAAATTCCACAACTCAATTTTGAAGAACTAAATCTGCATTCTAGCCTCCAGGAGCCAATTCTGCAAACCACTCCATGCTGCTGTCAACAATTGCCACTGCAAGAACCAAGACCGGAAAACTGTCATATCAACTCATTGGAGCCTAGTCCTGGAGAGCAACACAATCTGTTGACGCCTGTCGCCAAAGAACAACACAATTTGTTAGAACAAAGTCTTGGAGGACATGACATCCTCCAAAAGTGATCTAGGGAAAAAATGAGGTACGTTGCGGAGTCTCATGAATCAAATTTATGTCTTATTTTGTATGAAGTAATCACTCCAATTATATAGCAAGCAATAAATCACTTTTTGATTAGAGTTCATGGTTAATGTTCTCTTCTGATACCAATTAAAAATTCTATCCAATTTGCTAATGAAATTATTGATGTATTTTCATTCATATGTGAGAGATTGTATTCATGTATCAACTTATTGCTCATAAACATTAGTTGAACCAAAATAGTTGGATGGGTTGTTATTATTGTACCCGACTTGTATGATTGAAAGCTTGAGATTTTTATTGGTACTTCTGTTACCATTTTTTTTTTCTTTTTATTTATTTATTGTATTTTAAATATCAGGGACTTATCTCTGCTATTGTTGTACTACATATCTGATGACGTATATATGTGATCATATTGTTATAAGATCCAACGATGTATATGTTATCATATTGTTATTGAGTTACTTTGTTGGACTCTTGTTATTTTCGGAAAGACATTTGTACTCATTTCCATTGTTGGTCAGAAATAATTATATATTTAGGCTGAGCTGCTATACACTGTGATTTCTCTTTCCCCAAAAAGATTTCTAGTTCCACCTGATATGATATCCAATGCAATCATGCAATTTTAGGAGAGGAGATTAAGGTGGCCTTGCATTGTAATGTCCCCGAGTTTTCCAACCTGTAATAAGATAGGCAATTGGAGAGGTGACTCACTACACACCATCCATTAGATAGTTCGATCTAAAATATATTATAAAACAGTAGTTTGATTTAAATATATTATAAGTGCAAATCCAAATTCACGGTCTCACTGACACTCAACATTGATTCACATACATACTCGTTACTTGTGGCAGTAGTAGCACAAGAAACTGCATCATTACCGGCACCACCCGCTTTCCACACATCTCCTTGCATCAGAGGTAATGGCATCATTCGATCACAATAAATCAAGCCGACGCCCGTGCCACCACGCACCACTGCAGGAACTCCCCGTAGCAATGGCCTACCGGTCATCGGCTGCGTCCCCGGACCGTGCCTACCGAAGAAACCAGCTCCGGCGCTGACACTAGCGCGCCATGAAGGGTGGTGAGGCAAACGAAGGCAGTCACTGAGGCCGCACACACTGTGGCCACCGGTCTCCATGGCCGGACCGAACTGAACATGCCTCGTCCGCAGACGCTCACGCTTGTGCGCGTTCTGGTGCCCGCCGAGGGCTTGAGAGGTGGGGAAGTGGCGGCAGCAGTAGTGGCACCCGAAGCGGCGGCCGCTCTTGCTCCTGCCGCCGTCGCCGCCGCGATCGCGGGAGACGTCGATGCCGAAGAGGCGGATGCCGGAGACGGCGGAGGAAGGCTTCTTGCAGGCGGCAAGATCATAGGTCGCGAGCTCATCCATCTTGGTCGGAGGTGTGTGATAGGCTTAAGGATTTTGGGGGGGGGGGGGGGTGTGGGGCGAGAGAGAATATATAGATCTTTGCACTGAGATCTTGTCTTTTTCGTTAAATGTCTCTCCTGTTGTCGAGGGAGAACTCTCTCCTGGAGTTGTGGACGAGTTAAATGGCCTTTGGCGTCGTATACCAAGAACAGTTGGTGCACAGACCTCTCTCTCTCTCTCTACTCTTATTGCTGGAGAAAGGATTTTTCTTCTTCTTTTCAGATATTATTTTAGAGAGCAGAACAAGAGGGAAGCACTACTAGGATCATCTCATCTTCTGTGCTTTTAACAAGCCAGTAAACAACGCATCACATCACCCCCATCTCTCTCTCTCTCTCTCTCTCTCTCTCTGGCTTTCATGCATGTGTCACCAAGAGTCAAAATGAGAGAAGGGAACTTGACAAGCTCTGATGTTTGTGATGGTGAGTCTTATTCTATAAAGTGTGCGTCTCTCCTTGGTACTGTTTGCTTTAGCTGTTGGTTTCTATGTTCGTATCAGCCAGTGTCTATATTGGACAACCAAGTCCTAAAACATGTTAGGTGATTGATTTAATAGTGGTAGATCCTCTCATACGTCATGAGATTTTGAGCTAAGCTACTTTCCCTCTCCAACTTCGTGCATGTTTAGTTAGAAACCCTAGCCAAACTTTATGCTTGGAAGATTAAGTTTGTTATCTTTGCATAAAACTTAGGTTATTTTTCCTTTAGGATGTCGACCAGTTTAGCCGGTAATGATCTTAACCATTAATACTAAAATTTTCTGATTGAAAAGCTAACAACAACTCATGATCTGATGATGCAAGAAATTGACATTGAATTCTTGACATATTTCTGAATCGAGAGACTCGTATGACAAATGTCATGGAGAAACTCCACAGCCGCTTCACTTTGTAATGATAGTTGAGGAGGTGGTCTTTATGAGATGAATGAAGCATCATGTTAGGTGAAGAGAAGACAACAACTAATTCCTAACCCTCATGTTTGTGTTTGTGCAATTGCTCACTTGTTTCTATCAGCAACATGTCATTGTCCCTGTGACATCAGTGATTCATGCTTCAGATAGTAACAGGTGCTGCTGATTCATGTGGGACTCAGATTCTGGTGTTCGATGCACCTCCTCCCCCCATTGATAGCAATATTTGTCATTTCTGACAATAATATGTAGCTACCAAAAAAAAGGACCCCCTTGTCATTTTCTAGCTGTTGTTCCTTTGCAAACCCATCTCTTTGTGGATTATTGTTTTCCAAAGGCTGTTGTCTTTCTTGCATGTCACGAACCCTAAAAAAACAAATTAAATTAAATTGATACTCCTATATAGTAAGGTTGATATAAGTATCATTCAGCGAGGATGTTCTCTATTCTTTCTTTTTAGGGTGTATAGTAACTTGGATGTAGATAGAGGATAAGACGGAAAAAAAAATTATTTAAGATAATATGAATTAATGTTAAGAAGATTTATAGATATTAAATAATTATTACTTATAGTATGAGGAGACACATAGAAAGATCCAAAAAAAAAAAAGTAAAAACTAAAAATGAAAACATGAAGGCTCTTAATTTAGTTAAGGATATTACCATTCTTAAACGATTGAAACTAGATATGAGAGGATTGTATGTATAATGATATATTGTTATTGGAATTTTAAAGTATGACACCTTATGTTTAGTCTCATCCAACATGTAAGAGGGTGTACTACTATTAATTCGAGTTTATATATCTTCGAATAATGAATGGTTCAGACATATTCAATTAATAGATAGGATCAGTTATCGGATCATATCATAACAGGTGATTTTAGAATGCGTAGGTATTTCAAACCAATCATATTAATATGTCATTTATCTTTGTGGATGAGATCATTAAATTATATCCATATATAAGAGTAAGTTAATTATGAACAGAGGGCTCCTGCCACATTAAACAGCCAAAGTTAAAAGGTTTTTTTGCTGGCCTAAACTTTTGTCAACATCTGTTTCAATCTCCATGAATGCCTGAGCCATTTTGCTATAGTACCCCACAGTCACCGTCTTTATTCTTCCCTGTAGCTTGTGTTGTCATCGACCAGCTTGGAAACTTGAATCTAACCCTAATAAGTTCATCTCACTGCATCAACATCTGCTTTTGTAGTTTGGAGGTCCACTTAATGGAGTGTACTTCTACGTCTCCCATGTGTTTCATTCACCACAATAAATCCAAATAACATATCCAAATGACTGATATGCTAACAAAATTTATTTTTTTTTCTTTTTTCACAATCTATACAAATCATATAATACTCCTCCAAACACCCAACATACATACATACATACATACATACATACATACATATATATATATATACATATATATTGAATATCATTCCTCCATCCAAATCCTATTGTCACTCAGTGTTTACTTCTCTATAAATATAAAGAAATTCTATTCACCAAACTATCCAAGAAAATTATAAATTCTATTCCTCTTTGTTTAGAACGTTTACCGATATTTATTCAATTATATCATCTTCATTATACTTAAAAAGAAAAAGAAATGTAATAAATGATAAACGATGAAAATGGGATTTTGGTCTCATGATCTAATAAAATTTTGTCAACTAAGCTAACTAGCACTCGTAAATTTATTGGATAAAGTTTCCGACTCTCGTTCCTTCGTAATGAGTTTAATATATTGTCACTCGAACGATGTTTCATTCAGGTCGCTAAGTATAAATTCGCGTCGCACTTAATTCAACCACTCGATCTAAGTGCAAATTCAGCTCCTCTACCAACGCTGCTTGAGTCACTAAAATATGACATCTCTCTTCCATAACACACCCTTAAACCCTTGCATTAGTCTGTTGTCCGTAATGCAAGCGATATCTTTACAGTGTTAGAGTGCCAACTTATCGTACTTCCATTAAAAGTTAGATCATGTCGGACTTTCTATCTATCAACCAGATTAAGGCTATAAGCGATTAGTTCTTCGTACTTAAAACTGGATGCTTCTTCAATGGCTGGAGCAGTACCGGGAACGTGACTCCTCGTCTCCTCCTTCTTTATATTGTTACCTCCTACGGTGGAGTACATGGATAGGAAACATGCGGCGAATACCATCTGCTTTATATACTTCATTTCTGTGAAACGACTATCACGTTTGTTTGATGCTTGAAGGCCAAGTCCAATCAGTCAATTATGTGTTCGCTCTTCTCTATACTCTGTCTCATTCATTCATTGATACCGTCCTCTCTTCTAACTCTACCAACTAAAGTTGATGACAAGAAACCATACGGCATCATCGAATGGGTTGTAATCATGTGTGTCTCCATTAATCATATCGATCACTACAAGTAAAGAACAAAATTGTTTAATCACTAAAAATTGTTATCGACTATTAAAGTCTTTACAAAATGATCGGGTGATTAGACATCCTCAAAGTTTATCGGATGTGATTTTGAACTCAATTATTGTATTATTATTATTATTATTATTATTATTATTATTATTATCAAATCAATACAAAATGATCAATATCTAAAAGGAATCTTCAACCATTGTGATTTAGAATGTCTTCCTGAATCGTGTGATTATTACTGTTTTATTAATACTTAAGGGAGACTTCCTTATGAGATTTTCTATTATGTTAGTTCGCATTCTCAAAAATTTTATCTATTATATTTCTATCAAATCGAAACAAAATAATTTCTTTAAAAATAAATAAATATATATATATATATATATTATAATAATTAGAATTTAGAATGTCTTACTAACGTTACAATCATTATGGTTTCAACCTCCTTCCTTACAAGTTAAAAGAAATCTTCTCATTAATTTCTGTGCCTAAATTCTTCATCTTATATATATCTTTCTATGTCCCTTCTATGTTTCTTATATCCTTTAAGCTTAGGCGCTCTTCTTGGTGAGTTGTCACCACCTCAACTCGCCTCACCTCAGAAGCATACCTTAGTACTTCTCCAGTCGTCGACAATTCAATCACGTTAGCTAGACGGATGGACCATCTAAATCTATCCTCACCGTAAAGTTTATGGTTATATATGTTGCAGACATTAGTTATGCTCTAAGGAACATATATAACTGATAGTACTATTGGAGAAGAGATCCAATCTCATTTACACTGCCGAGAGGGCATCTCCAAGATCATGTCCATGAGACCAGAAGAAGCTGAGGGAGTAATGCAGTGTTTCTTCCCCCGTGCGCTGGGAATGCTTGCGTGGGGAGCTTCGATACAATTAGGTCTCCTATATGCAGCTTGTGTGGGGATCTGCTGCCCCCATAGACTTCCTCTCATCGTATGAGGTTGACATGACCTGACACCTGAGTTATGATCTGACTTTGGACAGTCTCCGATACCACTGTGAAAGATGCACCTACATGTATAGATTGCTTGTTTAAATCAGAATCTGACTTTTACTCTTGTGTTGTTTACCACCATATCTGACTGTGTAAATCAGAATCGAGATTATACGGCACTCATTTTTAGTCTCATATTAAATATGTAAGATTAATTGAGTTAAGTTTAGTAGATCAAATTAATTGTACTATCATCATTAGCCCTCCTGGCTTAAGCATCGTAGATCATCGATTCACATATATCAAGTAAATATATCAATCGTACTATTGAGTTAGGTCTCAGAAAAAGGATAATAGGGATAGAGCTACTACTATTGAGAGAACGTCACACGCATCCTACTTAGATTTGTACTATTGTTAATATCAACGGTCAAGCTTATCAATTTAATGGATAATTATTCGATCAAACCAAATCTTAACAATTGAGATTAAATATTATGTCCATAAGGTTGAAAAGAAACCTTGCTATCGAACAACTATTTTAACTTGTTATTGAAAAGAAAGAAAGAAAGCAACCTTAATTAGCTTGGTGCCATTGATAGTAGACATTTCCATATCTCAGAACAGTGAAATGAAAGGCATGTATAAGGTGTTTTGTCCTCTCCGGTGTTTGATTTAGTAGGTGAAATGTTTTGCATGGTTCTATGTACAGTTTGGTAGGTGAAAGTTTGAAATGCCCTCATCGATATTTGCAAAATCCTGTACACAGTTAGGTAGGTGAATCTTTGACTTGTCCTCAACAATTTTCTAATCATAATCCAACTCTCGATGTAGGAAATCTAGCAAAATAAAGCTTCAGCTGGAATTTAATCTGCACGTAAATAATAGATGTTTTGATCATATATCAAATTCGAGGGATAAATTATAGATTACCTTCGTTTTTATACTTTAAAAAATAACATTCGATCCTTATTCTTACGAAGGTAAAACATTTCGTTGATGAAAAAAAATTACATGTGTTGTCAAGTGTAAAAAATTTACATGGATAAAATTTTAATTTTATTATCTTTTAAATTATTAATGTTATAGAAACTTTACCTATTTCCTCTTCTCCTCCTCTTTCCAAACTGTTCGCCCGTAACTTGTCTCACCTTTTACTCACTCGTCACACCTATTGCTCACCATTTGCCCGTCGCACTTGCTCGTCCGTCACACTTGCTCACTCGTCGCACCTGTTCACTGCACCTACTCACTCGTCGCACCTGCTTTATTTGCATGCTATACTATTATTAAGCGGGCGAGCAGGTATAGTGGGTGAGCGGCGACTGACGATCGGCAAGTGCAACGGGCAAGCAAGAAGGTGCAGCAAGCAGGCTACGGGAGAGCATTTTAGAACGAGGAGAATAAAAAATCAGTAAAGTTTATATAAAATTAATAATTTAAAAAAATAAAAAATTATATTTTTATTCTTTCCATTCATTTTTTTTTTTTTGCACGTGACAACACGTATGATTTTTTCCATCGACAAAGTTAATGATGTAAGGAGCATTTGAATTAAATGTTTCACCTTCATAAGTATATGGACCCCAATACTACTTTTTAAAATATAGGGATCGGGATACTAATCATAGTTAACTATATGGGATAATATATAATTACCCCCAAATTTTATATTTGAGAAAAATTATATTTTATGTTCATAAATATTTTAATAAATATATTTTATGTTTCTATACATATTTTATTAATAATTAAATATCTTATTCTTTAAATGAGAATAAAAACTTATATCAAATTTTCATCTATACTTAATACGTAATAAATTGAAACCTAGTGATACTCAAATCAAATCATCCCTTGTCATCGATCATTCAAAGAATTGTTTAGATATTATTTATCTTATATATCTAAATGAATAGATGATATTTCTTTATTTTAATATTAAATAGTCATTATTTTCTTATTTACAGCCCTTTTAAATTGTAACTAAAAGAATGAACTCTATAGTACTGCCCTATCTTAAGAATCAATTTCAAGATTTTTTCACCAATTTTCTAAGATATTGTATTTTCTGATAGCCGATAATTCCTTTATCATCTCACATATTTTAGAGGTGATATTTTTGGATATTAATACACTATACAAAATTTATATTTATCTTTCACAATGATAAACCTCATCGATATTTATTAGGAAAAATATGATTGATGTCTTGATTGATCCAAACTCATATACGTAAAAAAAATACCTAAGGTGTCTCTAATATTAAAAATATCATATTTTAAGATGATTTTGGGATATATCTAAAATGGAAATGTGAGATAGAGTAGTTCTCTTTGCTCATGGAGTTATCTTTCTTCCTATTTAGAATATATCTTTATACCTTTAAATGAGGGAAAGAAAGTATCTGATTGTCTTTTTTTTATCATAAAATAAAAAAGGAGAATGAGATATAAGATTATCCTTTTTATCGTAAAAGAGTTTATGATTATCCTTAAAGAAGTTTGTATTTCTCTTTCTTATAAAAATAAACAAAAGAAAGATTATATTTCTCTTTCTTACCGAAGTGAATGAAAAGAAAATTTATGTTTCTCTAGAATGACGATCATGTGTTAACTATCGATAAATTTTTAATTAATATTAATAAGACAACAACTTAAGATAAAGCATTCATCCAATCTAAATAGTCGAAACATTACCAAATTTGAGCCATATAGAAAGTAAAAAGTAGCAACTGTTAATGGCTATACGTAGCTAATAAATACTTTTGTCTCAAACATACTATGGGTGATTTGACATGTCCAAAATCACCTGTTATTCCAGGTGACCGACTCTCTCTCTCTCTCTCTCTCTCTCGTCAATGTCTAGTGCAATAATAAAAAAAAAATTGAAAATTAGCTCGTGAAAATTCATAATTTACATAAGCCTCTCTCTCTCTCTCGTCAATGTCTAGTGCAATAATAAAAAAAATTGAAAATTAGCTCGTGAAAATTCATAATTTACATAAGCTTGTAGCTCATCAAACTCGAATTCAACTCGATCGATTTGAATATATATATAAATAATAATAATAATAATAATAATAATAATAATAATAATAATAATAATAATAATAATAATAATAAAGAGACAAGCTCATGATTCGTCATATGGTATCAAAGACACATGGGATATACAGTAATTTTGCACCATCATTTGCGTGATGGAGAACCCAAACCATCATAAAAGCCAGTGTTCACGCCCCTTCTGATCCATGTATAAAACATAGAACCTCGAGATCAACTGAGCCAAGAGGCAATAGAGAACTGAAACTGAGGAAGACAGTGGACACAATGACCAAGTTTTCCTGCTTTGTCTTGCTCCTCCTCCTCCTCCTCCTCTTCTATGGTAGTGCAATCTCCTTCCCTCCTCTCTCTCTCTCTCTCCCCTCTCATCTTTGCCTTCATAACACAAGGAGCTAAGACGAGTATCACCTGCCAACTTACAACACTGTCATCCGATACAGGTGACTGTGGTAAATCTTGCAGATGAGATGGCGGCCAAGGCAACTGCCGACTGATGCCCGGTGCAGGGCTCCGCTACGATGTCACCTTCTACGTGCCTGAGTGCATCAAACTCTACCATGGAGATGGGCAGTGCCCACAAATAATCCTGCCGAACAAAACTCATCTCCGTCTGTTTGCGTCACTACAACTGTTGAAATAGCAAATCATCTTGCACCATTTCTAGCAAGATTATCACAACACATGGAAAATAAACGCCTATGATACATATACACATGCATTCTGATGGCAATCTGATATGTTTTCAACTGTCAAGATAAGAACAAGATTTCCAATAAATTGTCAACACTCCATAAAGTTACAACGAGGGTAGGATCCATGCATTTGTTTGAGCAGCTGAGATCATGATCTGATGCACACCGTTATCTCTTCCACTCATGCAATTTAAACAAAGGTCTGATACACTCCTACTAAAGTTCGATTCCGTATCGAATGAGATGAGATACCAAAAGCCAAGGATGAATTGCCAGGGAACCACCATGATGAATTTTGCCAGTTCATGCCCCAAGTTTTATCTCATCGCTAAGACTTGAAGCTCTGAACCACACCACCCATCATGGTATGTCCGCCTTGTGTGCCCACTCCGACGTTTGAATGGAAATCGGGAAATGGAAAGCTCAAGTGATCCTGCTGTGTTAACATGCTTCCGTTCGTAGAAGCAGTTCTGATGTTGGAGTTGATCGAAGGGGCAGATGAACCAATCGAGCCGCTTCCTGAGCAGAGCTTTGAGCCAGAGTGATCCTGGCAACCTGATATTGCCGAAGTCTGGGTCTGCTTCTGCTGCTGGAGCTGCTTTGTGTTGAGGAACCGTCCGCCAGATCCTCTTGCCCTCTTCATTGCATGAAGGTGGCGAGACTCATGAAGATATGGCTGGAAAGATACAGATAAGATTAGACACAAGTTTGGAGTCAAAGAGAGCAAACACTTGAGAGAAAGTTGGAGTAAAAAAGAGAACACTTGATAGAAAAAAATTGAAATTTCAGCTAAGTCAACAACCATCAATTTACTCAGATGTACATCAAATAAAACAGATTTTGTTTATTCTTTAAGAAAAAAATTTGCCATCCAAGCACGTACAATTATCCAGATATACAATCATGAAAGTGACGACATTTAATTCAAATGTTTGCATACAAACAAACCATGCTTGACCTAGATCATGAATTACAAGAACAATGAATGTAAAAATTCATGAAGAATCTTGATAAATATTTCATATCTTGAAAATTGTTGTGCTGTAAATTTACCGATTGGAACAACAACAATTTTCATACCGATTTATGGCTTACCCATCCCACATACCAACCCGGTGACGAGAGAAAGCAATTGCACCACATGTGGGTCTCACATGGCCCTTTTCATCACCAGGCAGATGGGTGATTTGGGCAAGCCATAAGCAAGTAGCAAAACATTTTTTTTGCTTAGTTAAGCGAATAACGATTACAGCTTGTATTCTGAAAGCCAGATAAAAAACTTAAGTCACTAATGACAAGCAACACAGCATTTGAAGAGAAGAAATATAAAACTGCTGCTTGGAAGTAAAACAACCTTGTGTTTCTATCGTCCATTACCACTAAATCAGGCAAATAAGAGAACGTATTCTTAAACATGCAAAGCTATGTGTGATCTGGTTGGCAACCGGTTATCCAGGTGGCCCATTAATACTCAGAGATGCGGAACATATAGTGGAAAATTATATTCCTGTACAATCTAAAGCTGCTGATTCCATTACAAGCAAAAGATGGTTCTTGCCAACTATACAGTGGCTACTGAACCATTGTAGGATGAGATAAGAAATATTAGACATTACACCACTGATCAGGAGTTCTGTATACCAAATTAAGCTAAAGGATTCAGCATTAATGAGGCAACTGAAATTAGGATATAGAGAATCTATGGCTTGATGGATTAAGGTAAAGCAGTTCAATATAAGAATTCCTAGACATGCAATCATGTTGACTTTCTTCCCTCGGAACAGAGTAGACGTCATCTTCTCACTACTCTTCTCTTCTGCCTTCACTGAGTCATAAAATTGAAATGAAGGCAAGCTTCAAAACTACAGGGCATGTATTTGCAGTACAGCTTTTCAGCCTCCATTTGCTAGCTCTAATTAGGTTGTTTTTCTTTGATGCCTTTGTTTGCCGTTTGCTGGGTTTGCTGGAGTTCTGCTTCTTCATCGAACTGGACCAAGAATTGACCGCTGGTTTAATACTGATGTGACTACAGTAGAGAGAAGAATCTTGCTCACTTCCAAAATATTTTCCTGCCCTGGATCCCTCTCAGTCGAGCTTTTCGTTCATACTTAAGATCAGAAGATGAGATAAGCCTAAAAACAATCACACTTAATGAATTGGACACAAACAAACAAAAGAAACAAGAGATGACCCTATGTTCTCTTTGTTTTCGCCCTGCCCCAAATGATGGTCTCCTAGCTCAGGGAACTACACTTCATATTGGAAGAAAGTTTTCTAATACACTTGGTAGAGTCCTGTCAGCTTAGGGCTGCTTTGTCTATGTGCCACTTTCCAAATGAAAAGAGAGGAGAGCACCTCTTCTTTCTTGTTAGGACTTAGGAGGTCTTATGCTTATGAGCAAAAACACTTCTATTTGAAGGTAAGATCGATTTTGTCTTTAAACTATTACTAAATACGGGCAGATTAGCTTTTAAAGGAACTGGTCAGTACTGTGCCAATGAAATTAGTAAAAGCTAATGTTTTGATTGCTTCTAACACAAGGTTTGGAATGATTACAAGTTTGTAAAACACAGAAAAACTACAATCATGAACAAAATTTGCATCGATTTAATGATAAATGTAGAGCACTACACTGTCAAACTGTTCAATTGGTTTCAGCAGCTGTAGCATACATTTTCCGGACCAAAAGAAATTAGAGGTGCCAGGGATTAGCAAGTAGCTGGTGAAAGCATAGTGTCGAATGGCATAGATGCAATCTATATTTACTTTGAAGACAGTATGTTGATGATGACACCAAGTTCAACAAGGATTTTTGGTTCTCGGTGCCTTCCTACAATTATGCTGAGAAAGTTTGGACTAGGATATAGCTTGCGTTTAAGAGTTCAATATATTGTGCTCCATTTCTGTGGAGTGGAAAGCTTCCAAATTGTTCCTGTTGATAGCTAGTGAGGGTTGTTAGTCATATAACCATGTAGAGTTAAGCTTTCTATCAACTTGTTTGTGCAATATAAATTTTCTTATTTGTGTAACAAAAACGAAGATATTTTCAAATAGACCACACCATCTGAATCCAAAAGGACAAGAAATTATAAGATATGTTCATTACAGAACTGCATACCTTTCTAGCCTTTATGAGTTTATTTTGAGCCTCCAACTTTGCTCGCAGTTGCCTCCTTCGAAGTATTGCATTATATTGTTTCGCATTGACATAAAGTGGCTCTTCTGCTGCAGGTTGAAGAGGCAGTGGAACTCTACCAGAGGACGCTATTCCCACCATTTGTGGATGAATCTGCAGTTAGAGTAACACAAGACACTATGAATTCATATCTTACATTAAAGAAATTACTGGAGGTATGAAGTATATGTTAATAGAAAGAAAAACAAAATCAGCACAATAGAAGAGAGAAAATTCTGAGGTTTGAAACCAATATCTACTTAGTAAGCTTGAACTACAAAATTGATTTTTTTGTATGAAAAGGTTCCCAAAGACTAAATAAAGTATAAATAACATACAAAATTCTATCTTCACACTAGTAAACTTGGTGAGGCTGCCATTTCTAGTGGCAAGGATGAGATATAAGAAGTGTAACACCCTAATTTGGTCTCAAATCAAAACTAAATTAAGAATTAGATTGGCTTATAAGAGGTTGATAGGTGCACTACTGTTACATTTGGCTTAAGCATTTTGGGTCAATGGTTCAAACTCAATGAAGTTAGTAGATTAGTTATCACATTAGGTTAGGTCATGACAATTGATATCAGACCTAATATTGGGCATGGTGAAAAGTTTGAGTAGGAAAGGATTACTCAGGGACACATCAAGGTGTGGAGCTAGAGTCTAGACCCTAAAAACCTTGACCTAACTAACTAAACCTATAAAAACCTAAACCCTAAACCCCAAACCTAGACCTAACTAACTAAACTTGTAAAAATCTAAACCCTAAAAACCTAGACCTAACTAACTAAACTTGTAAAAACCTAAACCCTAAACCCAGGATTAAAAAAAATGCAAAAAGGAACTGGTTCAATAACCTTGGAACTAGAGATGATGAGACCAGGATTCCTAATTGAAAAAGTATTATCTATTTGGAATTTCTTTATGAATAAACAACTTAATCTTGATTATAAACTCTCGAGATTAAATAGTTTGAACCGCTTAAATTTCATCTATAATTATGATTTCCTGAAAGATATAATTATAGCAAAATTCATTGTTTTTTCATTGATATGATGCTATTAATTTGTTATTATTGCAAAATACCATTTTCATTATCGTTGAAGATATTTTGTCTTTAATTTTTTTTGTTTTTAGTCATATATGTACTTCTTTTATCTCCCTGACTTCTTTGCTACAAGCATAATATTGATTATTTATATTATTTTGTATTTTGTTCTCTGTTCTGTCATATTTGAAGGTTATTTTCTTTTTGATGTCTAGGTCCATTATATATAAATATTATTCTTCATTCTCTTGACTCTCATAAAATATGTTTTCACTTGTTATTTCTAATATAAAATAGAAAAAACTTATTCCTTTTAGTTTGTATATTTGGATTCCAAATTTATTGACTTTCACATGTATATCTTTATCCTTCACTTATCTCCATCAATGTTATGACAATCAACTCTTACTATAATATGTCATTATGATATGGCAGTCAATTCTTATTATAATATCACATGTATATCTTTATCCTTCACTTATCTCCATCAATGTTATGACAGTCAACTCTTACTATAATATGTCACTATTTTATGACATTCAGTTCTTATTATAAAGTTCATAAGTATATTTAAACGTATTTATTACAATTAGTATGACTCTGATTTCAGCATCTATTGAAGTTAGTATTTTTAGTATTTTATTTCCTACTGCTACATCTACAAATTTCTTCACTATATTCTATTTTTAGTAATATTGCTCTTTATTTAGTTTCAAAAGTGTATGTTTCTATAATTTTTATATATTATTGTCTTGATATGCTTAATTGTGGTAAGATTTTTTTTACATTTTATTAATTTTTTATCTTCTAAATTAAAATACTTTTATCTTGATTTTTTTAAATTTTTTATATAAGGCTTATGTTGACTGACTTCTACAAGTTTTCTATTTCTTTCTAAATTGTCCAACGTTTCTATTATCTTTTTGACTATATAATCTAGTACTTCTAAATATTTAAATGTCTTTGACATTTAAATGAACATTTAAACACAAATAATATTTATGAATTTATTAAATATTTTATCCATCTTTTCATTAAAATTCTGCAGGTATATTTTTTAATAAAAAGCATGACTATTCATTCATATAGTCGTAAAAGTGTACAAAATGTCGTTGATTCTGTACCATCTTCCATTTCTTCTTACCAAAATCTTTTTCTAAATCAAATTTACGAAATATTTCAGCCTTATTTGTCCTTTGGATCATAGTATCTTGTCATGTTTTAGGTATGTATCAATCAGCCTTTTATGTATCATCATAGTATCTTTGTTAGGTAACAGGTATGTATAATAGGCATTATGTATGTATAATCAGTACCTTTGCATTATAGTAGCTTTGCTAAATATTTTATATTTAACTTTTCATAATTTATTATCATTCTCTTTTTTCATCTTTTATTTCTGAGTGATTTCTCACCATAAAAGGTTGACATAGATCAGCAACTTTTTATGGTGAGAAATCACTCAGAAATAAAATGTGGTAAAGTTAAAATGATAATAATTTATAACCTCTAAAGCAAGAAATCACTTAGAAATAAAATGTTAAAAATTTAAAATGATAATAATTTATAAAAATGTTGAATGACAATGCAAAAAATGATATATACCTAATACCTATTAAACATGACAAGTGGAGCTAAAATATTTTAAGATTTTGATTTAAAAAGTGAATGTAGGCAAATAAGAATGCATGAATAGACAATCATTCAGTATATACTTTTAGCACTATATGAATGGACAATCATATTTTTTAAATTAAAAATATTCTAGCAAGTATAAAATATTTAATAAGTTCAGAAACTTTATTTGTTTTTTACATTGATAACATTTTAATCTTTTCAGATAACAAAAAAGCATATAAGTAACATTTGGAGATACTATTTAAAACAGTCCAAAGAAAAAAAAGATTCCTTTTAAGTAAGTGAAACATGGAGATAATAAAGAAATATAGACTTTCTAAAATTAACAGTAAAACAAAAATAATAAAATTGCAAGATCATATAGTAAATGCAGGACAATTTAGAAGAAACAAAAAATTTCAGAAATTTGTAGGAATATTGAACTACATAAGACCTTTTATCAAATATATAATCCAGTTAACATAACCATTGTATAATAGAAAGAAAAAAAAAGATAAACAATTACTAGAAAAAATAAAAAATAAAAGAAAAAAATAAAAAACTAACCACAATTAAGCATACCAAGACAAAATATATATTGTAATGGAGGGCAGATATCAACTTCAATAATTCCTTCATTTCAGGATTAAACTTGTGTAATCCATGCCACAAAAAACCTCAATCAGCAACCAAACATGATATAATTATGAGAAATAACTAGGAATACAAAAAACATTTTAATATAGATCACAGGATGATGTAGGAATTCTATGCACAATAATAATCTCAAGACTCTCAACTTGTAACTACTAAATTTCTACTACATAGGTACAAATTCTCCACAAAAAATGTGCAATAGTTTTTAATTTATCTCTTGTTTTTCTTTCACTTTATTTTATTTCTTTATCAAAATTCCAATACTTTAGCTAAAACAGAAACAGTCCCTTTTGAATGCATACAGAAACAGGTATGAACCAAACAGTTGAGGTTCAAAATGGTTGAGCAATCACATGAATGTTCAACTGCAATGCAGATAAAGGTAACAAGACATTAACAAATATGTAACTAGAAATACCATTGGTGAATTTACCATAGCATGTGGTCCGCACAACGCAAGGATACCACCAAAGTATGGGTCAGCACAAGGGTAAGGCACATGAGCCTGCACATGAAAGAGGACTTCTCAGAAGCATATTGATCAAATAAACATGCAATTACAAAGTGTTTGAAGTACCATATTGCACTAAGAGCTCCGAGACTATGAATAGGAACTTACAAAAGACTGGCTATAATCCAGTTTTGGAAATGAAAATGCAGTTTCTGAAGTTCCCAGAGATAAAATGGGCTTCATATGACCATCAACCAAATTCTTGTATGTATTACCAACACCTAATGAAGGACAACTATGTTAGAAGGTTAAATAGTAACGTGTCTATTTGAAAAGCATTCATATCAAGAAAAAAGAACCCTCTCATTAAGATTGCAAATATATCTATTTTTATAGTTATATACACATGCATTCAAAATGAGAAACAGGAAGGTTGTTCATTTCCATCCTGTGTAAACAAAATTCAAGTTATGAAAATAGTCTTCTATTTATAGAGTTACGTCGATGTATATCAACTCTCTCTAGACTTTGCATTGGAAGGATCTTCTTCACTAGCTTTGCTACCTTTTTATAATACAAAGTAACATAGACACAATAAAAATCATTGTCAATAACTAGAAAATAGTTTTTTTATTTTAGCGTCCAGCAGCAACCTCTAGTGTGGCACAACCGAAGTTTATATGGCATCTATAAGTATGCAAAAGTATGTGTAGGATATTCATGGACTTCACCTTGTCTAATTCTTTTATGATAATAAAGAAAAAGTAGTAACAATTTCATTCAATTGGAAATCCAGACTTTATCCCATAAAGCTCTACCACTTTGATAAAAAGAAGAAACGAATTAATAACAAAATCAACCAAAATTCAAGAACGAACTTATAAGAAAATAGTAATAATATACATGCCTCCTACACCAGTTTTCCAAGAATTATACTGCATCATATTGCATTTGATATTTTTGACTTCACAGGAATTTTCAGCTGTTTACAGTTAGCATTTTGATTTCTTTCAAGTGTATAAAACAGACACATACCAACTGTAGAAGAGAATCTTATAGTAAGAAAATAAGACATTCAATAATTAAAACAATATTAAAATTTTGTAAAAGTTATGATCAGTTAAACCTGTTGGGAAGCACTTTTGAATCACAAAAACATTATAGAGCTCAAGTAGACCTCTGTCAATGGCAACTATCAAGCTCCCTATCTAGACTCTGAATGTCCATAGTGGACTAGAGGAACCATTAGCAACTGAGTCAAACATTTGCATCAGGAAAGAAATGAAAGTGAACCCATCAGGCAACTACTCAATCTGGCAGAATAAGCATATGAATCATTGGCAACATAGAAGGTCAAGCTCATTTCACAAAGAAAAGGTTTTTTTTCCTCTAGATTATTTTGACAAATTAGACAATCATCAAGTCCAATGCTCAATATAAATTATAGAACAATATGGTCATTTAAGAGAATCCCTTGAAAGGCATAACGAATAAGATTTTCTAAAGTAACATAATGCAGCAACAAAATAAAAATATTAACTCAAAGGAAAGCAAACTTAAATTGATGTTGATAATATGATTTTCACACTACCCAAAATAGCATGTTTTAATGGTAAAAAAATGACTTCAAATTATTTTAATTTATACCAGAGTTTACTGAAATATGTTGCTCATGAACATTGTCTTCACTCGTTCCTGATGCTTCTTGACAGGATTGACCAGTGGACTGAGTTGATGAATCATGGTCAGATATTGGATGGCTTAATTGCTTTACTTGGTTGCCATCTTTCGCCAAGAAACCCATGTTCATATTCAAGTTCTTGGAACAAGAAGACTGTGGAGTAATTGCACTACTAGAATTCCAACAAGTAGGATCGAACTCACAAGTAGATGTTGAATAGAGTGAACTATTCTGTGAACTTTTAATGCCAATTCTTGCATTTCAGATGAATTTGCATCAAGATACATATCTCAATTCCATAGATAACCAAGTCTGGAGCAAGTACAATCTCTTTCTAGTTATAAGACCTAGCTAACATTGACTAATAACAATAATCGCTATCGATGTGCTGAAAGAGAGATGGGAGCACCTGAAAGCAAAGCATATACCATGTAAATAATTCTCAAAATTATCTCATAGCAATTTTAAGGATAAAAGAAGAAAGCATAACAATGAGATATTACTGGTTGTAACAATAATAATTTGTTGTATAAAGTTTATACATGACTTGTGGAGTTATTGTACTCCATTATCATGTCATTGACAAGCGTCCATAATGCACTGTATACATTATATTTAAACAACTATAACCATTATGTACACATCGAAAACCATGTAATGCACCCAGCTTTTTAAAATTGACTTTAAGTTCACATAAAGTCATGTTTTCCATCAAATCTGTATTTATGGTAGATTGCATGAACATGATCACCATGCACTTCATCGCATCTTGGCATAGCTGCACATGTCAGAAAAAAGGTTGATATTTATAGGTTGAAGTGTAAATTAAGTTTAACACGGCAAAAGGATTGAAGTTGAGCTAATTCTACAATCTGAGAACATAAAAATAATAAAAAAGAAAACCACTAGCAATTTGTGAATATCTGATACAAGACTGTAGGTGGCAATCTAAGCCCAAAAGCTAAGCCAGATCATACAGTAGCATACAGGCAGTGAGATGTTAGTATCTACAGAAACCTTCAATAATTTTATTCATATTACGTGTTGGCTACCCTGGTAAGCATCCAAAAGGATCAACACTGGATCCATGCCAATAATTTGCTTCTATCAGATTTTGGATGAAAAGCATATCATATTTTCCACCAAATTGAGTGATATACCCCAGATATCAAGTCATTCTAATCGTAGTTGACTTCCTCAATTATACCCATCGTCATAATATGATAATAGCTGATGTGGATATGATCAGCACTTCATTAATCACCACTACATAGATTGCCAAAACCTTCATTTTACAAGTGTTACGAAAAATTTTTGAAGCAGGTTGAGAAAAGATAGTTTTGTAATATAGAAGAGTTGCTTTTCTTGAAACCTTTATGGACCTTTGGTATTTTAAGTTTATTCCGAACTCTTAAAAAATGAAGCATTTTAGGTTGTCCATACCTAACAATCCCATGAATAAGCACAATTAAGAATTTTACTTCAATTACAATATTCTTTAATAGCTTCGGAATCTATAACTTCAAGAATATCCCAAGCATAAGAATGTCCAATGACTAGAGCAAAGCATCTTATATTTATTTATGAGCTCTTAAAATACTTTAGTGACTACAAGCATATCAAATATGAGAAATCTCAATGGTCACAGATAGCATTTTCTTTCTACCAAGTTGAATGTTCAAAAGGACATGATTCATCTAATTCTATATTTGGTTCTCACATTTTAATATCTACTAGAAACTATGAAAAGACATGCCATTCATCATGTGCATCAAACTTCTGGAGAAAGCAACTTCACAATACATGAGAAAAAAACTTGCAGTCCCATATATCAATCTAAATTTACTAAGAGATGGATCAAGCACCAAAGGCCTTTATACAATTCCATAGAATGCTTCCTCTTAAGGACAGAGGTCAGCTTCCATGTCCAGCACAAACTCTTATGAAGAACCTTGAAATGTGTTCTTGAACTACATACCATGTGAAATATTATAATAGTTTCCTCCTAGTTTGTGGTGGTAAATTCTAATTCCAACATGTGCATGTTTTGTAGTAGTATCTAAATTTAGTGTGTACCCTTTGGTAAATGTCATCAAGCTCTTACCAACTTCTTTATAATTAACATTAAAAGCTCATTCACCTAGTCATATTGAGGTAGCTTTATACAATTAACTAAATGTACTTATTGCCGACATTCTTACACCTAGGGAACAAGTCTTTACATCTTCGCATAAGCAGCAGTAGATACCAATAGAAAAAAACTTATAAAAAATATGCAGCACATATGCAAGTTTTCTAGTTACCAAGTTATTAAATAAATAGGTGACAACTAAGGATAGGTTTGGGAACATATTTGCATCTTAATGTGCATTTGGAGAAAAAAGTTTGAGTGAATGTGCAGTTATGGAATGTTTTGAGTGCTTGATAAACAATAGATTAACGTTGTTTTTTAAATGTGCATTGACGTGAGTGTTGTTTGGTAAGATTATATTTCAAAAGTCCATTGAATATTATGTGACAAATTTACTCTTCTAACATTTTTAATATTTATTCAAAAGTGAATATATCTTATTTAAATTAATAAATATATAATAAATAAATTTATGTAATCTTACAAAAAAAATTGATGGCCCAAATATATAATAAATAAATAAATGTAAAAAAAATTTAAAATAAATAAATAAAATTGCTAGATCTTTTGTAATCAACGTTTGGATGTAAATCTTGGACTTGGCAGAGCAAGCGCCCAACCAAGCAAGTGGTACGACGAATAAGTGAGAGGAGTAAACGACGATAGAAATCGAGAGAAGGGGAGAGGAAAATGAGGGTTGGGGTTTCTATTATAGAGAGATAATCTTGTAATTTTAAGAATGTCATAGGGTACTTTGGAAAATTTTAAAAAAATATTAACATCCCACAAATGTTGAAATGATAATGCTACCCTAACGTAGAATCAACATTTGAGCATTTATAATGTAGCACTCAGGCCAAATACGATTTAAAAAAATTATCAAACACCAATTCACATTTAAAATGTGCATTGGGCTATCAATGCACATTTCAAATATGTTTCAAAACATACCCTAAATAGTATCAGATTAGAAGGTAGAAAACTCATTCCTACATTTATGTGCATTCTGTTTAAAGAAATACTATAATCTGGTTAGTTGATGATCTAGCAAGGTAAATTACACATTAATCCATTTCTACAATATTATTGCTAAGTAAAATATACATATCTCCATTAAAATAAAGCACCAACAGCAAGGATCTTTAACATGTTCGAATTAGAAAAGCATTAAGCATCCAATAACAATCACCAGAGGATGTCAAATAAGTCCATTATAATTTCCAAGAACAAGTATCTTTTGACATATCCATGCATCTTGATTAGTTTTCTCAGATTATCTAGCAGCAAACATCATCTTCCAGAAAAAAAAAAGTGTAATATTCTCCAGCATAGCCCTCGATCAATCAAAATCACAGCCTCCATAGCAAATAGTTATGAATTTTAATGACATACACTTCATGCAGGGACCTGGCACCATACATGATCATCTACCAGAAAAGTGACAAGTGTGCATTTAGGACCATTGTAAAAATAGAAACTCAAGTTCCAAGGGCACACTATTTTATGATGACATCTGAACAATGATTATAATGATTCTAAGATGGAAACAATGTCCGTCATTTGCTGCACATTAGTCATACAAGATATTTGTTCATTATTTGATAAATCTATGGTTGCTTAAACAACTTTCCCAACCCCATCCCACATTCAAAAAACAAAAAGAAGGATTGAAAAAAGAACTTATTTGAATATCAACTAAATATGTTGCACAATCTTCTAGACTCAAAGTCACCCCACTCCACAGATTTCTTCTTATACTTTTTACAAAAGATTAGAAAAATCCATCTAGTAACAAAATAAAACTATAAAATGTGGTGTTCAGCTTTATAATAAAACTATAAAGATCAAAATCTTCTTCAGCTTTATTTTTCACCTTAAGATTCATCAAAATGTAGTATGAAGTGTGGTGTTCTTCCATCATTGGTCAAAATGGTTCCATGCCATTTCGAGATGAAGATAGATGCATTTATCTATACTACCTCCTTTCACTTGCAGCAAACAAAAAATATATGCATTTCTTAATCAATCTGAGGTCACTCAAACACAAACAAAACTGTCAAAAAAAAACAAAACAAAACAAACAGAGAATAAAGAACTTTTAGATCCCTAATTTTTCACTTCACAATTACATGAAAGCCAGAGATTCTCATTTTTGGCAAAGCAGTAAATGTGCAAAAATCAACTGATCTGCCACTACAATCAACTTCACTTGTTCATTCTAAAGAATATTCATTCATCGAGATTCAGAAGCAAGCCCCCAAATCTTTTCATGTCAGTCATAACATAAAAGGAATAAACAGAAGAAGAGCAAGCATTTAACATAGACGAGATTCTCTTAGTAGGAAGAAAGGCTTGCTGTTCTCCAGATTCAACAGTATTCAAAAGGATGAGTTTTAGAGCCATAAGTATTTGGAAAATCAATATAGTGTAGTTTACTCACATCTTGGTGAACATTTTGTCCACCCAAAAAGAGGGAATGAGTACTAAATGCATCTATTTCTCCCACTTTGCCCAAGAATTTGGCATGCCTATTTCCATTTACAGACAATTTGTTCTTCATAGGTGGAAGGGTCTTGATCACTAAAAAGGTGATCGTAATCATGAGTTGAACCTCTACAGTATCAATCAGCTATAATAAAATGGATAATCTGTCTATATATGCAATTCAAGCATCTGAAAAAGTGTGCCTTCAAAATATGCAAGCCAGACCACAAAACTAAACGTTTCAACAATGGATCATTGAAGAAAATACTACTTAGACAGGTTTTTGAGACAAAGAAAAGAAAATATCATGTCATATCCATATAACAAAATTGTATAATTTTCCTCATCAATAGATCACAAAAGTAATGCCAAGTAAACAAGTAATCAACAACTCCATAAAGAACAAACACCATCAAAAGATCAAAAGATTTCTAACACCGCTTCTCATCCAAGAACCTACAACCTAATGGCATGCACTCCCAAAACCTAACAGGTTTCAGAAGAAATATTCACTTTCACCAAGAAAAGAAGAAGAAACCAAGTAATCAATGATTTCAAATAACAAACACCATAACAAGACCAAAAGAATACTAACTTATCACCTCTCTTCCAAGAACCCATAATTTAATGGCATGCGTCTCAAAACCAACAGGTTTCAGAAGAAATATTCTCCTCTCGACATGAAATGAACAAGAAACGATGCAATCAATGATCCTAAAACAACAAACATCATCATATGACCACAAGAATACCAACCACATCACCTCTCATCCAAGAACCAGCGAACTAATCGTATGCAGCTCCAAACCCAACACGTTTCACAAAATGAATCTCCTTCCAACAAGAAAAGAACAAGAAACCAAGCAACCAACACCCCCAAATGGACAAACACCATAAGAAGACCAAAAAAACACCAATATATCACCTCTCAACCACGAACCCACGAATAAATGGCGTGTACCCCCAAAATAAACAGGTTTCAGAAGGGATAAACTCATTTTGAAAAGAGAGGAACAAGAAACCGAGTAATCAACAATTTAAGAAGAAAAAACATCACCATCAGACCGAAAAGGATACCAACCACATCACCTACCATTCAAGAATCCACAACCTAATGGAATGCACTCTCAAACCCAACAGGCTTCAGAAAAATAATCTCCTTCTGACAAGAAAGAAAAAGAAATTCAGCAATCGACACTTCTGAAAGAACAAACACCATAAGAAGACCAAAAAGATTTCCCACGAATCACCTCTCGTCCAAGAACCCACAACCTAATGGCATGTACTCCTAAACCTAACAGGTTTCAGAAGAAATCTTCTCCATCTAACAAGAGAAGAACAAGAAACGTACTAATCAAAATTTCCAAATGAACAAACACTATCAGAAGACCAGAAAATACTAACCACATCACCTCTCATCCAAGCAGGAACAACCAAATTGCATGCACTCTCAAACCCAACAGGTTTCAGGTTTCAGAAGGAATAGTCTTCATCTAACAAGAGAAGAACAAGAAACCAAGTCAACTACTCCAAATGAACAAACACCATCAGAAGACCAAAAAATACCAACCACATCACCTCTCATCCAAGAACCCACAACCTAATAGCATGCACCCCTAAACCCAACAGGTCTCAGAAAAATAATCTCCTTCTGACAAGAAAAGAACAAGAATCCAAGTAATGAATGATTCCCAAAGAACAAACACCATAAGACCAAAATACACCCACCACAATCACCTACTAAGAACATGCAACCCCAAATCCAACAGGTTTCAGAAAACCAATCTCCTTCTTTCTACAATGAAACAAAAATACATATAAAAACTAAAGTCTTTTGAAATATCCGCTACAAAACAAACCTCTTCTCCAAAACATCCCAACGCCAAAAAGCAGTACACAAACAGAGTCAAGAACAGGCCCTTAGAAATCAAACAATTTCAGCTGACAAGCGACACCTCCAGTCATGAAGGCATCTGAGTCGAGGCTGAATGATCAAAAGAAGAAAAAAAAGTCACAACAAAGTCATCGGGTCAAGAGCGTAACCTTCAGGAAGGGAACATGTCCCCTTTCCTGATGCCCGTTCCTCCTTCTGCCTCCCCTCTCTCTCTCTCTCTCTCTCTCTCTCTCACCCCCTATGGATGCTGTAAAGCTTTCACTTGCCAAATATACAAAAGCATCTGCCTCGTTATCAACCTTTCTTTATCCTTCAAAACAGTAAAGATATAAACAAATCTTTCTCCACTTCCAACGCCAGACACTTAGCCGCCTCCCCCTCTCTCTCTCTCTCTTTCTCTGCCCCTTCCTTTCCAAGACTACCCAATGTCATCTTGCCCTTGGCTAATTACCCAAGACTGGTGCTATATCATCGGTATCACTCTCACTCGAACGTCTTGCCCCAGAGCAACCACACGAAGCATTTCGCCGATGACTCATGCCCACTGCTCGCCTGGCTTGCATGCTCGAGAACCCCCACCCCAACCCCCACCTACAAACGGCCGTTGGTTTCATGTTCCACCCGACAGGTAAACTAATTGGATCCAAGGATTCATCCCATAGTTTAATTGGTAGATCACAGCGGTCGGTGACTTAGATTCTCTCTATTATCTCCTTAGATTTTGTATGCTTGTCACGTGTTCACCGTGTTGGTGAACAAATGTACCGTGGCTGGTGACTCAAGATCGGTCCACGGGTCGATGTTGGGAGTCTTCTGTCGGCTGAATTGGATACCGAGGTAGGTCGGGCCCTCGCGACGGGGTGTTGATCAGCGTTTCTCGATCCGGGCACTGTCTGCGTTGAGCAGCCTCTCTCCGTTCTCGAGCTAGTTGGCAACTCGCCTTCGTTCAACGAACGGTGATTCCCAGGTCGAGACGCTCGTGGCTTGGGGGTAGCCATTTGCATGTAAAATGGTCTTCGTCTAATGATTCCCGACTTTGGCCCCTCCGACGAACAAGTCAATAGTTGTGTTTCTCTTTCCTTTTTTTCCTCCTCCTCTAGCCGGATGTCGGCTAAGGCTTTTATATTATTGTACGAGAGTTGGTCGCATACGGGTTTGGCGTGGCGACTGATCCTCGAGGGATGAGACGGTACTGTGCGGCTGTTGTTCCAGGGCGTATGGGACGATGTCAGACGGCACCGCCTCGAGCTTCCGGGATGGGACATGCTAAACAGTGCCTCGGTACGGATTCTAACTGAGCGTGTGAGGGTGCTCCCCTTGCTGACCCGACTATAGCGCGGCGTGACATCGATTGTGACGTGTTCTTGACTCAAAGTATACCTTATCACATGCAAACCGCGCATGTACAGGAACAGCTACTTGACATGTACTTCATACACATTGAGCTGCGTATACCATCATAAAACTCTTAATATGTATTCAATCCAGTAAATTGTGTTACACTATTAAATCTCCGTCCAACTCATTTTTTTTCTTTATTAAAATAAATATTTATTAAAATATACACACTAAGGCATAAATAAATAAATAAACATTGCTAATATAAATGAATACAAAAATCACCCCTTGTATCGAAATGAACAAGTAAAATACATTTATAAAGCTAAGGAATTCTGTTTCCAAAATACTATTATTATTATTATTATTATTATTATTATTATTATTATTATTATTATTATTATTTTATCATTTCGAGCATGATTAGCCATCCAATTATTCAATCGAATCTCCTTCCTTGTATATACGATGGTTAAGAACATAGCTAGGGAGGGACTTTAACAACATGTGTATATTTTGCTTATAATCATCAAATTTTGGTCAGTAATTACGACCCCTTAAGATAAGGAAGCAAGAAAAAGAAAAAGGGGAAAAAGGATACAAGTTGAGTGTTTACCCTTACATGGTGGGGTGTAGGAAAAGGCTGAAGTTAATTTTCTGCACCACACTCATGAGATCATGACTAAATTGTATGGGTGAAGACGACGATAAAGAAGGAAAGAATGACTAATTTTGAGTGGAATTGCTTTTGATGAGACATGCAAGGGGACAAAGGTACACACACGACAGGCTAGCTCCATGGTCCCTTGTAGGGTTCCTGTGCTCTATCTACACAAGATCACTCCACGCCATCTTCCATAGCATGGGAATAGTTATTCTCGTAGAACTCCGCAAAGATTATGGCTTTGGCATATTAGAGTATACATTAATGACTTTTAAAACTAAATTCCTTCATTATGATTTTTTTTTTTTTGGTTCGAATTCAAATGACAATATATTACTCATCAGAGTGTTACAAAAGAATGATAACATGAAAAAAATAAAGAAATATACAATGATGGATTCGATATGATTTCTCCTTATATCTTGAATTGAATGATCATCTCAACAAAGATAAATTAATAATAATAATAATAATAATATAATACAATCGTTTCATCCATTGGTTATATCTTTTTCTTCCCTTCTTTTTTTTTCTATAAAATCAAGAATCTTCTCATATCAACTCTATTCATCTTACAAGTCAATCCTTCTTTTTTTCCCCCCTTAACGACCACAATTCAAGTAAACTCTTCTTCATATGTGGATGTCATTTGTACAAAATAAGATAAGAAACCAATTAAAAATTTCCCATCACTTGAAAACTTTGTCGGTGACGTATTCTATAACATGAGGTGCAACCCTAATCTATACATTTAATATGTTAATGGGTTGTATCATGTTCTCAAGACCTAACTGGTCCATCGGACGTGGCTTGATGAAGAAGTTGTGTAGGTGCTGATGGAGACAAGTTAACTAATAAGATATGTGTACCACATCAACTTGGATGAATCATGAACAGTAGTTGAACGAGCGCCACGAATGATTCAATTTGTATGCCTTTGAGCAAGTCAACTGGTATCATAATTCATCTTTAACTGTTCCCATTCCATGTACATAATTCTAAAGGTTGTGACATTTATTTCCTTCCTTATATATGCATAATATCAACATAAAAAGGACTTTATGTACATATTTCAGTAATTATTGCATTATATGTGCAGTTAAACGATCAATACATTCTCCTTTTAAATTCAAAACAAATCATGGCTATTAAATCAATTTCTAGATTGAGCATAAGTAATTTCAGGCCATCCACTTGCATATTTTTCATGATTAGATCAAGTAAAAATTGGTGATGCATATAGGTTTCAAATTCTTGATACAATGTAAGAATCAAAGTAAACTTAGCTC